GAAGTCCCAGTCAGAGCCAAGTTAGCGGTTTCAAGATCTCTTTGTGAACCTCTGGGCAGACTGTAACTGTGACGATGAGTCAGGGCGCCGGCACACAGCTCAGCCTGAATCTGTCCCTAATATCAGGATGGAGATTAACACCACCCGGCAGCTCGCATGCTGATACTTCAAGCCTGGAATAGATGCAGGGAATTGCAAGGACGTGTGACACAAATACATCCTGGTGCTTTACTGAACTGTTTAATTCAGTCCTAATTAGTTTGTCACATGTTGTTTCTGGTGAATGACAAACTTTATAGAATAAATGAAATGCGTAACTTGTTGAGATGTCATAAATATAAAAGTCGAAAATTTTTATTTTCATAAATGCATAAAAATGCATTTTATGACCTTTTAATATCTTTCTTTTTCAAAAGGACGTCTTAAGGTGGATCATTTTGATAACTTATGCTTTCTTTTGTGTAACATATGATGTATAGATTCAGCACCACCTCAGAAACATTGAAACATTGAACATACTTTTTATAGCAGATTGTTTGACAAAAAAGTCTACACTAAGCATGGTTAGTACGGTTATAGTTTATACACTGCCTGGCCAAAAAAAAAAGTCTCCACCAAAAAAAAGGTCACACACTAATATTTCGTTGGACCACCTTTATCTTTGATTATAGCAGCATTCACTGTGACATTGTTTCAATAAGCTCCTTCAATGTCACAACATCTATTTCCATCCAGTGTTGCATTAATTTTTCACCAAGATCTTGCATTGATGACTAGGCACTAAACATGATGGGTGCATCACTTCACCTGCCTCTCTTCTTACCCTGATGCAGCCATCACTCTGGAACAGGGTAAATCTGGACTCATCAGACCACGTGACCTTCTTCCATTGCTCCAGAGTCCAATCTTTATACTCCCTAGCAAATTGAAGCCTTTTATCCATGGTTAGCCTCACTGATTAGTGGTTTTCTTAAGGCTACACAGCTGTTCAGTCCCAATCCCTTGAGTTCCCTTCACATTGTGTGTGTGGAAATGTTCTTACTTTCACTATTAAACACAGCCCTGAGTGCTACTGTTGTTTTTCTTCGATTTGATTTCACCAAACGTTTAAGTGATCGCCAATCACGATCATTCAGGATTTTTTTTCCAGCCATATTTCTTCCTCGAAGACGATGGGTCCCCACTATCCTTCAGTTTTTAATAATGCGTTGGTCAGTTCTTAACCCAGTTTTAGTAGTTTCTTCAGTCTCCTTAGATGTTTTCTCTGCTTGATGCCAATGATTTGACCCTTCTCACACAGACTGACATCTTTTCCACGACCACGCGATGTGTCTTTCAACATGGTTGTTTAAGAAATGAGAAGCAACTCATTGCATCAGTTGAGGTTAAATAACTTGTTGAAAGCTGAAAGATAATCACCCATGCAGTAATTATCCAATACGAGGCTCGTACCTATTTGCTTAGTTAAATCCAGGTGGATACTTTTTTTTTGGCCAGGTAGTGCATTTTGTATGAATTATATCTCTACTTGCTAAGAGACTGCATGTGGAAATTAGCCATTGGCTAAATGTGGCAGTTTGTTTGGTCTGTATTGCATGGTCCATAAAAAATAAACCTGAAACTTCAATATCAAAAACTGTATGTGTATGTTTTAATGAGGGTCAGTATCAGTTCATTGTGTTAGCAAACCTATCAGTATTTCTGTAGTGGTTAATAGGAGAGTAGTGTATTTTTGCCTTAGATTTCCCTTTTTGTTAATTATTTATTAATTTTTGGACTTTGGATAATAATTCTTGTGCTTCCAACATTTTCAGTCAGGTCATCTGGACAGTTTCTTTTTTTGTGCTGAAATGTTTCGCCTTCAATCCTGTTAAGATATTTCCTATTTAGACTGGTCCTATGTTTTGATCTGCTCAGAGACGGAATTATAAGAGACGGTCGAACATCAATGTGTGGCATGGAGGCTGCACAGCTGCAGAAAGAAAAGCTTTGCAGAGAGTGGTGAAGGCTGCACAGAAATCTGTTGGAATCAGTCTCCCCACCATCACAGACATCTACACCTCCAGATGCAGGAAGAGGGCCACCTGCATCATGAAGGACCCCACCCACCCAGCACACACACTTTTTGCCCCACTCCCCTCAGGAAGGAGGTTAAGGAGCATTAAGTGTAGAACCACTAGACTGAGGAACAGCTTCTACCCTGAGGCGTTAGACTCATGAATCTCTAACTAGAATAATCACTGTGAAAAACCATATCATGTTGCTGCTGATCTGTTTCATGTTGCTGCTGATCTGTTTCAATGTTGATGTGTTCATGCGTGCACATCTGCTCACAGACTCATGTTCATGTTTGTGCTGATGTTCAATGTTTTATGTTATGAGTGCTTAGTGTATATTTAGTTGATGTTTTTCTTAGTTCATATCTTAGACGTTATTACTGTTTTTCTTATACATTTTATTGTCGGATGTAACTGGGACCCCGTGTACATAATTTCGCTCCACCACATGTACCACATGAGGTGCGAATGACAATAAAGAAACTCTGACTCTGACTGACTCTGACTGATAATGAAATTATGACTGGGTTAAACTGGGCTAGCAAACTCTTAAGAGAGTCTCCCTGATTATTCAATATCTGTCAAGAAATAGTTTAATGAGCTTGCCACATCACATAGAAAAGGCTTTAAAGCACGTCTCATGTTTTCCTTACACGTCAGTACACATAAAACCACACTTAGTCACGCCCCCTCATACACTGATAGGCTGAGCTCCCCTTCTGTGAAAGGCGGAGCCTAGGACCCCATAAATGAGTGACGACACGGGACTTCGGGGCTCTGCTTCCGGATCTGTGAACGCGTTGCAGATTGTGTAGAGTCCAGCGCTGTGAAATTGTAATCTTTTCCTGCCTTTTCCTTTCCTTGATTTATTGATTAGTATAGTGCCACTTCTGATGGAGGTTCGAGCCGGGGGTAAAGACGTGGGCTGGAGGGGGTTTCCGGATCCGGTGGCCAGCAGCCAGATCACTCTTTAACAGCCCGGAAGGCTTCATCAGTCAAGGAAACACACAACACAAAACTGATTCTTCCCCCAACTGCTTACTCCAAAGTGGAACAAACCAGTTATGTTGGTGCTAAGATGGTGGACCCCCACAAAAGTTATATAAAAATGACCGGCCCGGCTCCAAGATGTGTGCTATTACTTTTATTGGCAATTGGAGTTACCATGGCGACGTATTTTGCTAACAAAAATGCCAAATTTTGACACGACTGTCAACAAGGAAGAGGGCCTGCAATGGAGGAGGGGGCGTGCCAAAGACACCATCTTAGCACCAACATAACTGGTTTGTTCCACTTTGGAGTAAGCTGTTGGGGGAAGAATCAGTTTTGTGTTGTGTTGACTGATGAAGCCTTCTGGATGGAAGGCAAAACGTTTCAGCATCAAAAAAGAAACTGTCCAGATGACCTGACTGAAAAATGTTGGATTGTATTCCTGGATTATTGAGCATGGACTTTGTTAATTCTTCTGCTTGCGCTAAATATTAGAGTTCATCTGTGCAACGGTGGTGTTTTTTTAATTTAATGTTTATGCTGCGTCATTAATTTTCAGTGAAGACAGATTTGGACAGTCAATAGTAAATGTCCTATAGCCTGAAGCCACGCTGCTGTAGTTGCACCATAAACATGAAGTTCAGTGAAAAAGGCGTTGAGGTTACACAGATCCTGAAAATCTCACTTTGCTTCATTATGGTATTTATTATTTATGTAAATGTGAGTCACTCATGTCTGGCTTTTGCATGATACGTTTATGAGAAGTGTTTTTCATCTTTGATGCAAAGAACTGAGCTGATTCATGGACTCATCAGGCAGCAAAACAGGTGTCCACCTAATATACAGTAGAACAGTCACTTTAAAGGGGGCGAGTATATATTATCTGTAGAAATTTGATTTTGCTGTGACACTCAGGAGAGTTTTATTAATTTTTTTGTAACAAAGGACAATATTTATTGACCATGACTGATTTATGACCGCATCAAAACCATAAATATCCAAGGATGTGAAAGCATTTTATAGACACTTCATATATTGTGAATTATTTGCTGACACTGTTTAGCACTAAGCAGTGGGCCATGACCCGTTCTATTACTGGTGGAGGTTCCTTTTATACTCAACCCTGACTCATCACCAGTTAATCTGCTGTAACATCCTCTGTAACACTTTCACTTGTTTATTAAATAAACTTTTTCTTTACAAAAAAGGTTCAATCATGTCATCTGGACAAGTTTCTTTTTTGGGATAAATGTTAGGTCTTTCATCCTAAGCACTTCATCAGTCTGAGGCCTGCCAGCCCAGATCTGTCTTATAAATAGTTTTCTTGAATGTTTTTCTTCAGTTAGTTGTTGGCATCAAATTCTAGATTTGCTTTCGTAGTTATAATTCAGGGCAGCACGGTGGCGCAGTTGGTAAAGTTGCCACCTCTTAGCGGGCAGGTCGCCCCGGTTCAAATCCCGGCAGGGAACCTTTCTGAATGGGTTTGCATGTTCTCTCCGTGCATGCATGGGTTTTCTCCTGGTACTCCGGTTTCCTTCCACAGATCAAAAACATGCATGTTAGACTGACTGGTAACGCTAAATTGTCCCTAGGTGTGAGTGAGAGAGTGAATGGTTGTTTGTTTGTCTCTGTGTCCCTGTAATGGACTGGAGACCTGTCCAGGATGTCCCCCGCCTCTCGCACAGTGATTGCTGGACATGGACACCAGTGAACCCCGTGACCCGAAAATGAGGAAGCGGGTAAAATATAATGGATGGATGGATAGTTCTAAATCAATAAAATTAGTGAAAACACTAAAGTCTTATTCATACTTTTCTTCTAAATGAAGACAAAAACAAACGAGTGTATTACAGGTTGAATATATGTTTCTTTTTGAAATCTTTATGCGTATTAGTTGTATATTTGGCTGGTGAATGAAGACGACGATGTCTCTCTCTGCTCTGTCCTCTTCAGTGGAGCTGCGTCAGGCCATTGTTGCCATGATGAACAGGAAGGACGAGCTGGAGGAACAAAACACGTACGTTGACCCCCTCACACACACAAATAAATTACGTACACACATATCAGTGCTCATGCATGAAAAAACAATAATTTAAATGTTTTACCAGTTTGTTTATTGTTAGTTGTGAAGTATTATTTCTGCTGACGTTGCAGCAAACTATTTTATTTAGTTTTGTTTAATAAACGAGCCTCCGCACATTCATTCACACTGAAACGTGAAAACTGCTAATTTAATATAGTCTCGTTAGGATGATCCCTCCCTCTCAAAATTAAAATAATTATGTTAATGCATCTATGCTGTTAATCATAATAATGTAAACCTGCCAGAATTTCACGATGAACTCTAATTTCCACTTAGGCTATTAAAAACAATGCAGTCACAGATTCGTGGTGATGAAGTGCTTTACGTTCACGCTAATTGTGATCCATCTGCTCATTTAGTGCAGCAATTAAAGTGGCATTTATCTAATCTATTGTTTATGAAGCTAACATCACCAGAAGGCCGATGTTTGTTTGGGGATTTTGTCTCTGAAGGATTAGAGCTCTCACCTGAATGCGATGTGACACAAGCTTGTACTATCTGGCGTGTTAACGTGGATGTGATGTGCTTCGTGTGTGAAGGTCTCTTCGCAGTCTGTTGGATGGAGAGATGGAGCACTCAGCAGGCCTGAGGCAGGAAACTGATTTACTGAAGAAGAAGCTGGCAGATCTTGAAGAAAGACACGCAGTCAAGGTCCAGGCGCTGGCTAGGTAACATACCAATATTCTCTGCATCACTAATGTCATTTTTAATTGTAACATTTAAGATTAAATCTTATTTAGTACGATCTTTCATGTAAAAAAAAAACACGCACTGTGGTCATGACCACACTTTTTCAGCATGCGAGCCACTTTTAAAATGACCAAGTCCAAGTGCTTTACTATAAAAATACAAAACATATAGTTATTTATAAACATGTTAAATATGCTTTATTTGTTTTATGTTCTTGGTTGTAGTATTTTACTATGTTTTATATGGCACCTTGATTTATTGTTTTCTAACAGTACAGCAGTCCCTCGCTACTTCACGCTTCATATATCACGGACTCGCTCTATCGCGGTTTTTCAAAATAAGAGTGGCTGATGGATGGATGAGCCGCACGATCGGCATGGACTTTTTATTTACAATAAATTATTTAAAACTATTCAGCACCTGCTGCACCTGTGTGCAGCCCACAGCTGAAGGAGACACTTCCTCCTGCATGTGCCAGGATCTCCGCTCTGCCACGGAGAAGTGGGCGTGGCCAAGAGCAGCCATGGCAGAGAGAGGGAAATGATGAGATTCTGTTCTCTTTTAGAGCATTTAGAGTTTAGAAACATTGTTTAAAATATTTAAAGCATGTGAGAAGGGTTTAAAACACATTCATATATATAAATAAATACTAAAATAAACTACTACTTACTACTTGTACTACTATTCCTACTTAACACTTTTTCACTTATCATGGGGCTTTAGGCTACGGATCCCCTGCGATAAACAAGGGACTACCGGTGCTGTACTTTTATTTTAATTGCATTTTACTGTAGTTTTTTGTTGTCTGTACTTTATATGTTCTTTGTTTAAAACAGGTCTCTCTTGTAAATGAGTCCTCGTGACTCAATGTTTTCATTCCACCTCTATTTATACAGGTTAGGAGACTAACCTGTATAAATAAAGGTTGAATGAATGACAACCCAAGTTTGTGTTAAAAAAAAAGACAATATATATTTACTAGGGCTGGACGATATGGCCTAAAATCAATATCACAATATATTGAGCAGTTCACCTCGATAACGATAAATGGACGATAACTGCGACCCCCCCACCCCCGAAAATAATGTGATAGGCCGGCATAAGTGATTCACAGCCAGCTATATTGATGGCATAATTCCCTTTTTATTGCCACTTTAATGAACTTTAAAACTACAGCTTCTGCAAATAAATGAAGAAAATTTGTACTTTTAGTTGTTAATAGTTTTTGAACAATAAACACAACTGAACAAATTTAGAAGTATAAAATAACTTTCCTGTAAACACAAAGTATTAAAAATACAATCTCTTATAAATGAAAAGGTCACATTTGAGTTGTCAAGTATTCCCTTGTAAATAAAACTAAATAATGAAAACTAAATTTCACATTTGCCATTTGTGTTGTCAGCGGTGACGCGAAACAAATACGACACCTCAGCGGTGACGCATAATACACGCGACGTATACGACGAAGCGACATATTTATGGATTTTTCCACTTTATTAGACTAATATGGACTGATGCGACTTATATGGGCGGTGCGACGTTTATGGTGGAAAATACGGTACGCAGAAGAGGAAATCGAGAGGAAATCTTTTTTTCCTGATATTTAAACTTACTTAAAAAAAAGAATCATGAATGACACTTTTTATTTCTGTCATGCCTCAAGTGTGAGAAACTCACCTTAAGTTGATTTTGAGTAAAAAAAAAAAATCCAGGTAAAAAAATTTAGGGTGATTTAAAGAAAAACTGGTGTACTGGATACATAGATTTTAGGTCTCATTTAGTGCTATGAATGTGTCTGAGTCTTTAGCTCTGATATGATTTAATAAAAAAGGACAAAGCACGTAACCAGTTGCTTCAAACGTCCTGACAACTCATCCCTGGACAGAGGAATAGAAGATCAGGGTGGCTGGTGTTTTTAATAAAAAAAACCCCACTGTTTAAAAGGTTTTGTGACATGTGAGATTATTACTAATAACTATCACACAACCTGCTTGAGCATTTACATAACTTTATTTAGTCATCATGATTTATTTTTCCTTTTTCTTCAAAATTCAATAAATGGCTGTTTGTGACTAATAAGCTATTACATAGACCAGAAGCGTGAGCAAAAATTAAACTAACAAAAATCCGTATTTGTGCATTTGCCATCAATTGTACTTATTTCTAAAGATCAACGTTGGCCACTGAAAAGCCCATACAGCTCGACCTCTGCAGCAGAGCTTAGGTAAACATTGGGTAAAAGCTGCCACAGGCCACTTCTCTGTGATTAAGGCTGCTGATTGTGCTGGGCTGTGGCTCATACCTACGGCAGCTGCATCGCCGTTTTCCACATAATCACAGTAATTACCACTACGCCATCCAATGGCAGGAGCTATATTTGTGCAAATATCAGTGTTAAGTCCACACATCCAGTTTAATCCGCTCATTATGTCGAGGATTGGAGGATGCATGTCAGAACAACATCGGAAAGTTTCTCTCGCCTCATTCTCATTGAGTTCACTTCCTTCCTCACGCCATAAATACTTTCGGTTTTATCCCCATGATTGACCACCTGCAGAATCTCTGAAAGTGGAATGCGTCATGGCAGCTTCAACAGTATGTTGGCTGCTTGCCCAGAGTCTTGAGTCAATCCCGAGCCCTTTAGATGGTCGATTAGTCATCCATCAGCAGCCTAAACAGAAGGCCCCAGCAGCTTCGTGCTCGCATAGTAGCCTCACAGGAAGTCAGACCACCAGCTTGGATTGATCGGGTGACTAAGTGTGCGCAGGGGCAGCTAAAAGCTGATAGATTTATTCGGAGAGGACAGAGCAGCAGCTGTCGGGGCCTTTTTAATGTATGATGATGTTTGTGTTTACAGTTAAATGGAGCGTAAATGATGAGAGGCGAAGCAGTAAAACATGCAGGCAGGGAGCAGGCGACGGCCTCACGACTAGTGACCGTTGTGCGCTGTACGGCGTTCATTTACCCACAACCAGATACACATACGCACATGTAGCCTACTGCTAAAACTCAAGTGTGGCTTTTCCTCCTAAGCTAAATCTGTCTCAATCAATGGCAGCTATAAATACTTCAGAAGGAGCAGCTAGCAAGTGAATACGAGCTGGAAGCTGTCAAAGAGACCACTGGCAGTTGTTTTGGTGAATCGCACTATTCTTTGTAGGTTTTTTTTTCCTGTGCAGGTCAAGTTGAAGTTTAACATCTATGCACATAAAATGACTGTTTAATCGCTCATTGTCTTACAGCTGGTTAAACTGCTGTGTACCCAATTAGGACTCATTGTTTAACGTGTTGTGACTTTTACAGAATAACAGCCAGCTGCACTGTTAAGGTTGGATGTTTATTTCCAGCCCCAGATGGTCCTCCTATTTAAGGAGGATGTCACCAGTTATCGTCCAATTTTAGGCGCTTTTCTTTGTGGAAGGACTTTTTTTTATATAGTTAAGCATCTCTTAAACCCAAGAAAGTGGCACACATATTTGAAGCCGAGCGAGTGGTTAGGCTGATTGTGTGTATGGGGGTGGCAGAGGATGAGCGAGCCGCCAGAGATAGATTCTGGCTGACGCAGACACCAACAGAGGGGAGCGGGCTAAAATGAGCCGCTGCTCACTCACTGACTTACTCACACACAAAAACTCCGATATACAACAAGACCCCCAACTCACCCACCTGTCCAAATATAACATAGAAATGTAAGGCCCTTAATCACACATTGACATGGAACGGTTCTCAGACTGCCGAGCCACCATGGAACAACGACAGCGCATGTAAGCAATCAAAAGAAATTTAGGTTGTTGTTAATGTGCTTACATCGGACCTCCTGTTGTTAAACGTTTATCTGCAGGGACTGTACGTAAGCTGTGATGTCACATCAGTGGCGCTGATCACGGATGACTTGACGAGAATTGTGGGGAATGTCCAAAGTCCCGCATGTCGAGCGAACAACACAGCAGACTGCATGCATGATGGCCACCTCAAACGCTTTTGTCAATGTAAACTTAAACATTGATGACATCCCCGGGGCCAAATTTGACTTGGAATATATTGAATAATACAATGATACACAGCTTGAGTGCTGGGTACAATGTAGGTGAATAGAAGCAGCAACTGGGCCGAGTTGATAAAAAGGTACGTGTGGTGTTCCCAGTGTTTCCATGCTGATTCAAGCACTTTTGCCTCGGTGAAAAAGAGCAACGATGACTGAAGATTTCGTGTAGGATGCAGCCATTGATTCACCATGCACCACCACTAAGTACACCGTGGTGTGCTGGGGCAGCAGGGTGAAGACAGCTGATGCCAACAAACTCTATAAGCTCACCAAGAGAGCGGGCTCAGTTCTGGGAGTGGACCTGCAGTCTCTGACAGAGGTGTCTGAGCAGAGGATGCTGAGGAAGCTGCTCCAGGTCCTGAACATGTCACACCCCCTGCATGACACCCTGGACACTTACCACAGCACCTTCAGTCATAGACTGAGACCATCGAGGTGCTCCACAGAACAACACAGGAAGTCCTTCCTCCCTGTGGCTATCAAACTTTTTAACTCCTCCCTCTTTCTACACATAGGACAATAAAATTAATCCTGTACTACAATAAACACTTCAATGTTTCTGTCTGCACCTGACCTGTTTTGGACCTTAATTGTTGGTATTTATGTATTTTCTGTTATTTTTTATATCTTGTGTGATTCCTTGTGTATGTTCCTTTGTACTGAAACTCTGGCACAACAATTTCCTGTGGGATCAATAAAGTTCTTATCTTATCTTATCTTATCTTTAGGCTTTCGGCAGCAGGATGAAAAATAATTTTGCCAGCTGCTTCTTTTATTTTACTTCGTTAGCCATTAGCTGTTAGCGATAGGTTCTTTTACTTTATTTTTCAAAAGTGAAAAGATTCTAAACGGGAGCTGAATTCAGCACCTAAAGAGACACTTTAATGTAGGTGGGTTGAAAAAGGCGTTCAGTGTTCTCGTTAATATAAT